GTCAGTCGACCCGTGGCACCTGGGTCTGCCCCGTGACCTCCTGCCAGCGGGCGTTCGACACTTCACGTGGCCTCAAGGTGCACTTGGCCTGGCACAAGCGTCGTGGTGACGTCACCGCCACTTAGTGGCGAATGGCGGTTGTTGTTGTTGTTGATATTCTTAGGTTTTTTTCGGTAAAGTCACGTAGGTAAAACATTAAAATTAATAAAAGTAAAATAAAATAAAAATCACGACGTTTCGGAGGCAACACAAGCTTCCGTCTTCAGGTGGAACCGTCACAGCCACGACAGCTGTATCAAGTAAATGAGAGATTGCAGGAGCTACCACTCCGTTTATATAATGGTTGGAGAGGGGGGGGGGAAGGGCCAAGTAAAGCACACTTTTTATTCATATGGTAAGGTGAGGCTTAAGAGGGTGAGCCTTTGTTATGGAGAGGTACGGTGATGATGGTTACAAACTGAGTAATCATTGGAAAGATGTGATTAACCATGCAAAAAAGATTTAACTACACTCAGTTGGCCAATCTTATTTGACAGACTATTACAGGTTTACCATGTTTAGTGGTTGTCTCCTTGTCACAGGTTGAGTCACAAACCGTACCTCTCCATAACAAAGGCTCACCCTCTTAAGCCTCACCTTACCATATGAATAAAAAGTGAGCTTTACTTGGCCCTTTCCCCCCCCCTCTCCAACCATTATATAAACGGAGTGGTAGCTCCTGCAATCTCTCATTTACTTGATACAGCTGTCGTGGCTGTGACGGTTCCACCTGAAGACGGAAGCTTGTGTTGCCTCCGAAACGTCGTGATTTTTATTTTATTTTACTTTTATTAATTTTAATGTTTTACCTACGTGACTTTACCGAAAAAACCTAAGAATATGAATCCTTGCAGTCACGAAAGCTTCAAATCTAGAGTTGTTGTTGATGTTAGTGGTGGTGGTGTTAGTGGTGTTAGCGGTGGTGGTGGTATTAGTGGTGATGATGGTGGTGGTGTTGTAGTGACATAGGACGTCACTACTGTGTCGGCCCGTACGAGGGCTAGGGGCCCCAAGGCGGAGCCTTGGGGGTCACGGGGTGGAGGACCCGGACCTTCCCGGCGGTTCGGGAAGGGAGGGGTGGCTTGGGCGGAGCCGGCCATGCCGGAGCGGTTATAAGCGGAGTGTGAACGCAGAGTGGGGCTGTTCAACCCCGAAGTGAAAACGCCATAATCGGTCCTCAAGTCCCCGGGTTGTCGTCAGTGACCAGGCAGCGCATTGCCTGCCTTGGTCACGCTGATAGTGTTCCAGAGTGTTAGTGAGTTGAGGAAGGTGGCTACCACCTTATGTACAGTTTTATATAATTTAATGTTCTAATAAATAGTTTTGCCTCTAAGCTGTGTGTGTGCACCTAATTGGAACCCACTACAGTGTTAGTGGTGGTGTTAGTGGTAGTGTTAGTGGTGGTGATGTTAGGGTTACCACCACGACTCCCAAGGTTGGAGTGTCAGCGCTAAACAAACCCTAAAATCACCGCCACCGACTCGGGGGCTGCGGTGGCCGCCCCTCTGTGACCAGGCCGCTTAGTCGGTCACGGCACCGCGGCGTCACCACCGCGGTGTCGTGCCGGGGGTGGTAGTGCTGTGGTTGCGCAGTTGTTGATGTGGTTGTTGTTTTTGTTGTTGATGTGGTTGTTTTTGTTGTGGTTGTGTCAGTCTGTGCTGTGGGTCAGTGCGGCACCATCAAACATCTCCTGGACATCCTGAAGCACCAGCCGCTGTGGGAGCGCAGCCAGGTTAAGCGGGTACGGGGACACACGGTGAGACTCGGGGATACACGGTGAGACTCGGGGATACACGGGGAGATACGGGGAGACATGGGGACACACAGGGACACACATGGGGTGAGTAGATGATGGCAGGTAGTAGATGGGTAGTAGATAATGGCGAGTAGTAGACGATGGTGCTTAGTAGATGATGGTGAGTAGTAGATGATGGTGAGTAGTAGATGATGGTGGGTAGTAGATGATGGCGGGTAGTAGATGATGTTGAGTAGTAGATGATGGTGGGTAGTAGATGATGGCGGGTAGTAGATGATGGTGAGTAGTAGATGATGGCGAGTAGTAGATGATGGTGAGTAGTAGATGATGGTGGGTAGTAGATGATGGCGGGTAGTAGATGATGGCGAGTAGTAGATGATGGTGAGTAGTAGATGATGGTGGGTAGTAGATGATGGCGAGTAGTAGATGATGGTGAGTAGTAGATGATGGTGAGTAGTAGATGATGGCAGGTAGTAGATGGTGGCGAGTAGTAGACGATGGCGGGTAGTAGATGATGGTGAGTAGTAGATGATGGCGGGTAGTAGTTGATGGTGAGTAGTAGATGATGGTGGGTAGTAGATGATGGCGGGTAATAGATGATGGTGAGTAGTAGATGATGGCGAGTAGTAGAGGATGGTGAGTAGTAGATGATAGAGGCGCCGGTTCTCGTCATTCGCTTCTCGAGTTTTCAGAACTCGTCCGAGGACTTTCCTGGCGGCCTCTGCCGTCCGGGCTCGGCTTGCCAGCGCGGCGTCACACAGGGACACACATGGGGTGAGTAGATGATGGCAGGTAGTAGATGGGTAGTAGATGATGGCGAGTAGTAGACGATGGTGCTTAGTAGATTATGGTGAGTAGTAGATGATGGCGTGTAGTAGATGATGGTGAGTAGTAGATGATGGTGAGTAGTAGATGATGGTGAGTAGTAGATGATGGCGGGTAGTAGATGATGGTGACTAGTAGATGATGGCGAGTAGTAGATGGTGGTGAGTAGTAGATGATGGCGGGTAGTAGATGATGGTGAGTAGTAGATGTTGGCTGGTAGTAGATGATGGTGAGTAGTAGATGATGGCGAGTAGTAGATGATAGTGAGTAGTAGATGATGGTGAGTAGTAGATGATGGTGAGTAGTAGATGATGGCGGGTAGTAGATGATGGTGAGTAGTAGATGATGGCGAGTAGTAGAGGATGGTGAGTAGTAGAGGATGGTGAGTAGTAGATGATGGTGAGTAGTAGATGATGGTGAGTAGTAGATGATGGTGGGTAGTAGATGATGGCGGGTAGTAGATGATGGCGAGTAGTAGACGATGGTGAGTAGTAGACGATGGTGGGTAGTAGATGATGGCGGGTAATAGATGATGGTGAGTAGTAGATGATGGCGAGTAGTAGAGGATGGTGAGTAGTAGAGGATGGTGAGTAGTAGATGATAGAGGCGCCGGTTCTCGTAATTCGCTTCTCGAGTTCTCAGAACTCGTCCGAGGACTTTCCTGGCGGCCTCTGCCGTCCGGGCTCGGCTTGCCAGCGCGGCGTCGTCCGAGTGCGTGAACCCGCGGGAGCACGTCGCCGGAACGTCACCGGCACGTTGCGGGGGTTAAGATGGCGCGGCGCCGGGGAGAAAGCGGAGTCCACCGGCGGCTCCGCCGGGGCGCACGGTGGCAATGCCGTCGGCCCCCCGGGCCCACGCGGTGCGGGGGCCCAGAGGGCCGTGGCGGTGGCCCAACCCCGGGCACGGGCCAGGCGGCTCGGCGATGTCGGGGGGCGGGGAGAGCGGCGTGGCGTCGCGACCTGCGCCAAGGGGAGAGACGCTCGCGGAGACGAACGTGGGGACGCGGACGCAGTGAGACGGGTGCGGGGACGTGGACGCGTGAAGATAGACGTAGGGAGACACGTGGGGATGGACACGAGAAGAGATACGAATGCACACTGACATAGGGAGACAAATACGAGGCCACAGATGCTCTGTCTGTGGGGTTGGGGTGAGACAGTGGCACAGGGAGAGAGGGGGAGGCTGTCTGTGGGGTTGGGAAGCTCACGGAACAACAGGGAAGAGGAGACAGCGGAGACAGAGAGGAGACACAGAGGAGGAGGAGACACCGAGGAGACACGGGGAGGAGGAGGAGACAGAGCGGAGTAGAGACGGAGGCCAGGAGGAGGCACAGGCATCGTGGTTTGCTGGAGCGACGCGGCTGTCGCGTCCCGCTGGAGGCAGCGGCTCAACGCGCTCCAATAAGCAGTTTCCCTTTCCCAGAGAGCCGCAGCGCATCGACCGTGATGTAGTGACGTCACACCGTCGTGACGTCGCACCGCAGTGAGGACGCCTCGCCGCTGCTCACTGTGCGCAGACCACCGACGCACGGCCGCTCGCCGCACTTGGAGACACTCGCACCGTCAACAACAACAACAAGCAGCCAGAGGCACCGTCATGTGCACCTCCGTCAGCACACACGTGTCAACACGCATAAACACACGCGCAAACAAGCATGCAAACACACAAACAAGCATGTAAACAAGCACGTAAACGTGCGTAAATGCACACAAACAAGCATGTAAACACGCGTAAACAAGCATGTAAACACGCGCAAACAAGCATGTAAACAAGCATGTAAACACGCGCAAACAAGCATGTAAACAAGCATGTAAACACGCGTAAACAAGCATGTAAACGCGTAAACAAGCATGTAAACAAGCATGTAAACACGCGCAAACAAGCATGTAAACAAGCATGTAAACACGCGTAAACAAGCATGTAAACGCGCGTAAACACACGCAAACAAGCATGTAAACATGCGTAAACACACGAGTGTGTACCCGTGGCTGCGTGGAGCGCTTGTTGATGAAGGGACATGAAGGCGGTGACGTCTCCATGTGTATCTCCCCTGTCTCACCCCGTGTGTCGCCCCGTGTGCCGCCCCGTGTGTCGCCCCGTGTGTCGCCCCGTGTCTCGCCCCGTGTCTCGCCCCGTGTCTCACCCCGTGTGCCGCCCCGTGTGCCGCCCCGTGTCTCGCCCCGTGTCTCGCCCCGTGTGTCGCCCCGTGTGCCGCCCCGTGTGTCACCCCGTGTGTCACCCCATGCCTCTCACCCCATGTGTCACGCCGTGTCTCCCCGTGCGTCTCCCCGTGTGTCATCCCGTGTATCTCCCCTTGTGTCACCCCGTGTGTTACGCCGTGTGTCATGCCGTGTATCTCACCCCGTGTGTCTCTCCCCGTGTGTCTCACCCCGCGTGTCTCCAGACCATACGCAAGCTGCTGGTGAACACCGTCTCTCTGCTGGGGAACCTCTCCCGCGTGGCAGAGAACCGCGCCTCCTTCCGCCAGAGCAACGCGGTGCCCGTGATGCAGGAACTGCTCAAGAAGGATGACGTGGAGTTCAGGATGTCTGCCCTGCAGGTCATCGCCAACGTGCTGGAGGAGAGTGACTGCGACCCCCTGGGAGAGACGAGTAAACAACTCTCACCGCACCCCGCACGGACCGCTCCTCGCCTGCGGGACTCGGCACTCGGCTCTCGCTCGCCCGCCGCTTGCCTCCCTTGTGCAGCTTTAGTCCGATGTCAGATGAAGGGTGTAAACGCCACCGTTTCCGCATTAAAGGGAAGATGTTGATATTTTGGCTGACTGGCCTTGTTCAGGATCGACGGATTCATACAAATCTCCTGGAACGTTTGGGTGGGTTGCGTTGAGATTGTTGTTACAGGATAAGTGATGGTGAGTGACGGCTATTTTCGTGATGCCAGTCTCACTGAAGTGTATAGAGTTTGAAGAATAGTAGAGGTATTATATTCTCGTCAAGGAGAATAAACCATCACACAAACTCCGGCCATCCTCGCAGCGGCTTTTGCTTTAACACTTAGGCTTTCGCAGCTTTTGGCTCACCATTGAACAAAGACGGTGGTGACTGCATCGCGCACTTTAAGATGCGCTGTGGCCATCTGGAATGCTCTTCCCATATTAGGAAGCCACTGGAACTATGCAATTCTATATCATCTAGATTGAAACTCATTTCTTTCGAACTGATTTTTGTGTTCCTGTGTGTATGTGTGTGTGAGATCACTGTTAAGTTCCTGTGTGTGTGTGTGTGTGTAAGATCACTGTTAGGCAGGCCTCTCATGATGCCGGTGTGGGTAACAGCGTATGGTCCTATATGACGGCCTGCGTGTCTCGTTTCAGACTCCACTAATGAGCTGCTCCAGGCCATCAGTCGGTCCAAAGTGTACGGCCGATACAAGTGGGTAGGTGAGATCCTATACCAGGGCGAGGAGCTGCTGGAGATGCTGGCCATGCTGTCCGTGTGTTGGCCGGTACGCAGGAAGGTGAGCGCTCACACCGCACCAACGACGTCGGCCTGTGGCCGGCGTCGTGCTGCCCGAGTCGGCCCTGGGCGCCGTGCTGGGCGACACGCGCCGCGATCGTCGCTTCCCCGCCGGGACGTTGTCGCGGGTCGGTCGACGACGTCGCCCGAGTCGTGAATGCGTCGCGCTTCCACGCCGCTTCCTGCTTGCGCCGAGGTTCACCGTCGCTCTTCGCGGGATCCGCACCGCTTCTCTCGTCAGATCTACGAGGCGGGCGCCGTGGCTCCGCTGGTGCAGAGCCTGAGGCAGGGCCGCTCCGTGGAGAAGCTCCACGCGGTGACGACGCTCAGCAGACTCAGCCGCGACCCCGGCACCTGCTCCCAGATGAGGCAGGGTGAGGAGGGCGGCTCTCCCTGCACGCTCAGCAGCATGTCACACACACCACACATATATACACTACGTATTTGTGTGCGGTGAGTGTGTGTGGGGAGTGAGTGGTGAGTGTGGAGTGTGAGTGGTGTGTGTGGGGAGTGAGTGTGGTGAGTGTGTGTATGGTGAGTTAGTGGTGTGTATGGTTAGTGAGTGGTGAGTGCTGAGTTTATATAGTGAGTGGTGAATGAGTGGTGAGTGTGTATGGTGAGTTAGTAGTGTGTATAGTGAGTGGTGAGTGTGTCGTGAGTTGTGAGTAGTGTGTGTAGTGAGTGAGTGGTGTGTGTAGTGAGTGAGTGGTGTGTGTAGTGAGTGAGTGGTGTGTGTAGTGAGTGAGTGGTGTGTGTAGTGAGTGGTGAGTGTGTATGGTGAGTGTGAGTGGTGAGTGTGTATGGTGAGTGAGTGAGTGAGTGGTGAGTGAGTGAGTGTGTATGGTGAGTGAATAGTGAGTGGGTGAGTGAGTGGTGAGTGAGTGGTGAGTGTGACTCTGAGTGTTTGTGTGTCACAGAGGGACAGCTCCACTGCCCCATATGGAGCACGAACCAGAACCAGCTGAGGGAGAGAGCGGCCGTCTCCTGGGGCAGCGTGAGGACCCCCACCTCCTCCTCTACACCTCCTCCTCCTCTACACCTCCTCCTCCTCTACATCTTCTCCTCTACACCTCCTCCTCTACACCTCCTCCTCCTCTACACCTGCTCCTCCTCTACACCTCCTCCTCTACACCTCCTCCTCCTCTACACCACCTCCTCTACACCTCCTCCTCCTCTACACCTCCTCCTCCTCTACACCACCTCCTCTACACCTGCTCCTCCTCTACACCTGCTCCTCCTCTACACCTGCTCCTCCTCTACACCTGCTCCTCCTCTACACCTCCTCCTCTACACCACCTCCTCTACACCTCCTCCTCCTCTACACCTCCTCCTCCTCTACACCTCCTCCTCCTCTACACCTCCTCCTCTACACCACCTCCTCTACACCACCTCCTCTACACCTCCTCCTCCTCTACACCTCCTCCTCTACACCTCCTCCTCTACACCTCCTCCTCCTCTACACCTCCTCCTCCTCTACACCTCCTCCTCCTCTACACCACCTCCTCTACACCTCCTCCTCCTCTACACCTCCTCTACACCTCCTCCTCCTCTACACCTCAGTGCTCGTGTGGTGACACAACCCCCCCCCCCCTCCTGTGCCTCAGGTCGTGCTCCGCGCCGTCAAGGGCTTCATCTCGTGCTGCTCCTCCTCCAGGTCCAAGGAGGTGCAGGCTCGCCTCGCAGGTAACGGCAGCCCCTAGGCAACGGCAGCCACTAGGAAACGGCAGCCCCTAGCCAACGACAGGCCCTAGACAACGACAGGCCCTAGGCAACAGCAGCCCCTAGGTAACAGTAACCTGGCAACAGCAGCCCCTAGGCAACGGCAGCCCCTCAGCAACAGCAACCCCTCGGTAACAGCAGCCCAAGGCAACGGCAGCTCCTAGACAACAGCAGCCCCTAGGCAACAGCAGCCTGGTAATATCAGTTCAGGGGACATATGTATAGACACAGGGGCAGCTGGGTGTTTGATGCACCGAGTTGCAGGATTCTGCGTCAAGTTGCTCGTCTTGCTCACGCCGAGTCCCCCGTGGTTGCCCACGTCTGTTGCCCCGCGTGCGCCGCTTGCCGTGTCCCCAGGCGTCCCCAAGTGGCAGGAGGGTGACGTGCAGGCCTGGCTGGAGGAGAGCAGCCTGGGCGCCTACTGCCCCAACTTCACGCAGATCGACGGCCGCATCCTCCACTCCCTCCTGGAGATCCGCCAGCAGGTGGCACGGGGACACCGGGGGACACCACGTGGGGGCACCACAGAGCACCACGTGGGGGCACCACACAGCTCCTACCCTCCTCACACAGCTCCTCACCTCACCCAGCTCTTCCCCTCCTCAGCCAGCTCCTCCTCGATGTCTTTGTCTCACATATTCTCTTCCTGTTCTCAGGCCCCGGAGTTCTTCGCCATGGTGGCACGGGAAGTGGGCGGCTTCCACCGCCTGGAGGACTTCCTCAAGTTCCTGGATGCTGTGGAGAAACTGGACTGATGAGGTTCACTGTCCACTCACCATGCACTACCACACACTCACCACACTCATCATGCACTACCACACTCACCATGCACTACCACACATTCACCACGCAGTGAACACCACCACTCTCACACTCACCACACTCACCATGCACTACCACACATTCACCACACAGTGAACACCACCACTCTCACACTCACCACACTCACCATGCACTACCACACATTCACCACACAGTGAACACCACCACTCTCACACTCACCACACTCACCATGCACTACCACACATTCACCACGCAGTGAACACCACCACTCTCACACTCACCACACTCACCATGCACTACCACACATACACCACGCAGTGAACACCAGCACTCTCACACTCACCACCATCACCATGCACTACCACACATTCACCACGCAGTGAACACCACCACTCTCACACTCACACATTCACCACGCAGTGAACACCACCACTCTCACACTCACCACACTGTGCACTCACCACCGCCACCCATCACCACTCTCACGCGCTGCCTGTGCTCTGCTCTCACAGGACGTTTCTCTGCTGCTGCTGCTGTTGTTGCAGGTGGCAGAGTCGAGGACAGAGCAGCTGATTGGAGCTCAACCACACAAACACAGCACAGCCACACACGTGACAACCACACAGGACAACTCAACCACACCACACACATGACAACCACACACATGACAACCACATGCCGTACGTCCAGACACACCGGGACTGCACCTAAATGCAGCCGAGCACCAGTGACTGCCATGCGCACTTGAACTCCAAACCTGTAACTCTACGCTGATAACTCCATGCCACGCCATTTCTACCACAGCATAACTGCATTCTCTGACAGCCACTTACGCCACACAGGTGACGCAGGTGACACAGGTGACACAGGTGACACAGGTGACCCACACTCAGCACAGACTACTGGGCTCGTCTGACGACCGTGGGTACTGGACCCTGAACAGGGCTTGGGTCCACGGCCGCACTCACGCACTCACACACTCACTCACACACTCACTCACACACACACTCACTCACACACTCACACACTCACTCACTCACACACTCACTCACACACACACTCACACACTCACTCACACACTCACACTCACTCACACACTCACGCACGGCCATTCACACTGCATGCCTGCAGACGATGACGGTGGCTTCTTTGAGGCCTACAGAGGCCAGCACCGGCGCTCACACTGACACAGGCTCTGTGCTGCTGCTGCTGCTGAATGGCCATGAGTGAGTGGCGCTCACACTGACACAGGCTCTGTGCTGCTGCTGCTGAATGCCCATGAGTGAGTGGCGCTCACACTGGTACAGGCTCTGTGATGCTGCTGCTGCTGAATGGCCACGAGTGAGTGGCGCTCACACTGGCACAGGCTCTGTGCTGCTGCTGCTGAATGGCCATGAGTGAGTGGCGCTCACACTGGCACAGGCTCTGTGATGATGCTGCTGCTGCTGCTTGCAGGCAACACCGAATGCTCTCAGACGCCCGTGGCCCATGGCCACCTGTGGACGTGAAGAGGCCATCCACTGCCCCAATCAGCTTCTTGTCTCTGGGTCTCCGGGTTCCTTCTCTTTGTTGTCATAATTCTGTTTAACACTCAGCAGAAGCAGCGGTATTAGTAGTAGGAGGAGGAGGCTTTCGTGACCAATATTATCCATGAGAGGCTTTTGGGTTAAATTGCGTGAAAATAAGTGTCGTTAAACCCCCCCACCACCCAACACAGCCAATTAGTAAGGTTTGTCACGTAAACAAAACCTGCCAATTAGTGACGAGTACGGCACTAAGCGGCTGTGTGTTGAGAGTAAACCCACTACAACATCTACAACTCGAGTACAGCACTAAGCGGCTGTGTGTTGAGAGTAAACACACTACAACATTTACAACTCGAGCACGGCGTTTCGCCGGTAATTACAACCGGCCTGATGTCCGTGTCAGGTAGTGGTGGGTTTAACGACACATTAACACAATCTAACCCACAACAATCCTCTATTGCCGATGTCACGATCCTCCTCGTCAATCGCAGTTAATCCGATGGGTGTCGTTGGACCGGGCCTCGTAGTAATCGAGCGAGGTGCCCGGCTGGGATTCGCGTGAACGCAGCGGCTCTGTGTGGACGTCAACACTGGCAGCGGCAGGGACGCGGTCAGGTGGGGGTGGCGACGTGGGAATGTGCAGCGAGGGTGGGAGACGGCTCCACTCGCGCGGCGTGCGTGGTAGCCGGCAGGGCCCCGCCTGGAGGGGAGAGGCCTCGTCGCGGGGCGGTGGGCCCCTGGGTCCGGGTTGGGCAGGAGGAGTGGCAGTGCCGTGGACGTGGGCACTCGTGGCAAGTGCAGCGAGTGGAGACGGAGCCTGGTGGAGGCGGCATTTAATCTCGTAATCTTTGCTTTAATTTTAACATTTTACACGATAAAGTAGATTCTAGTGCAACCGTTAGGGTTTGGTTACGATGGTCCGAGCGCGATTCCATCCGGCAGAGCGGCCCTGGCCGCTGTTCACGGCGGGGGTTCTCCACTGTAGCTGTGCTGCAGATGCCTACGAGCGAGGCCGTGGATAGCAGTGGGGGTACGGAGACGACCAACGAGTCGGTGTGGAAGAGCCATCGGCTCCAAGGGCCACGAAGCCCTAGCGAGTCGTGATGAGTGCAGCGGCAGCAGCAGCGAGACCATCGGGGCTGCAGACTCCAGAAGGCCGAGAGCCTCTCTGCTCCTCGTCACCTGCCTGCTGTGGTGGTCTCGATTCGCACCATCGCAATCAAACACAAAGTAGAACCTGCGCTCGTGCTCATGAACAGTAGAATACGGCGTTACGTTCTAGTTAAGCGTTGGGGTGAGGTCGTCCCGCCAGCTCTACCGGCTCGCCTGGGAGGAGTCATAACCAATAGAATCCCGCGGCCGGGTTCACTCTGAGCTCTGACCTCGTGCCCATTCCCTCGCTGGCTTCGTGCCGTCTCCCCCCTTCTTCTCGCGTGAACCCTGTGCGTCATGCTCCATCCTCCCACTCCGCAAGAGCCTCCCAGGTGCTGCTGTAGACTTGGCGGCTAAGGGATAAGGTTATTAAAAGGCATTCTGCATTTTCTTCACGGTGATCATTAACCATTAAAAGTCGACGTGATTGTCATGTAAAACCCGCTGCTTGCTAATTGCTCCATTAAACATCTACTGCAGCCCTTGCCCGAGTCTGTTGGCAGTGCCTCGTGCTGTGGGTGGTCTCCGTGACCCCGTGGCCTTTCACAGACATTGCTGGGGAATGCGACGGTGCAAGTGTAGAGGTGCTAGACCAGTGGTTCTTAACCTTGTTGGAGGTACTGAACCCCACCAGTTTCATATGCGCATTCACCGAACCCTTCTTAATTGGAAAAATAAAATGTGATTTTTTTCAAATTTACTGGTGCACAAAATGAACCGTGCATCAACATTGTGTTCAAAGAACAAAACCAGCAAAACATGATTTTCACACAAAAACTAAATACTTGATACAGCTGTCGTGGCTGTGACGGTTCCACCTGAAGACGGAGGCTTGTGTTGCTTCCGAAACGTCGTGAATTTTTTCATTTGTTTTATTTTACTTTTATTAATTTAAATTTTTTACCTACGTGACTTTACCGAAAAAAACCTAAGAGTATGAATCCTTGCAGTCACGAAAGCTTCAAATCTAGAAATAATGAATACTTACTGCAAATCAGGGCCCGATGTACAAGTCTTAATTCACTGGCCAGGTGGTGTTGGTCAGAAATGCCATGAGCTCTGTGGTATAGTGTTTTGATGAGATTATTATTTTGAGCTGGGTGGTGGTGGGAATCAGGTTTCAAGTAGGAATCTGTGTGGGTGGCTTTCCTGTAGACAGAATGTCCCAAGGATCCATCAGATCTCCTCTCAAACAGAACATCTAAGAATAGTAGTTTGCCATCTTTCTCCACTTCCATGGTGAATCTGATCCTAAAAAACCTAAGAGTATAAAAAAATACACACAGACAGCAGCAGCAGCGTAAACTACTCAATATCCAACTACTCACTATTTAACTATTTAACTCACTCAATATTTAAATTCGCACTATTAAACTCACTATTTAACTAAATATTTAACTCACTATTTAACTCACTTTTCAACTACGCACTATTCAACTCACTCTTCAACTCACTCACTATTCAACTCAGGGGCCGTCCATAAATGATGTCACGTGATTTTTGACGATGTATTACCCCCCCCCCCTCGTCAAACGGCGTCACAAAAAGTCAGACCCCCCCTCAAATATGACGTCACAAAGCTCTGCCCCCCCCCAACCATATTTCCATTTTGAAAAGAAAACATGCTTAAAATCGCTTTAAACTATTGTCATTGTAGTGCGTATTTAATGTGGCGCTGAACCCTGATGTTGTAGGAGTGTTGTTATAACAATTAGTGTTGTTATAACAATTCTATATTTATTTAAAGTTGCGCATTTTGATGTGACGTCACATTTCTCAAACCCCCCCTCCCTCGTCACACATCGTCACAAATGTCTGACCCCCCCCCCACCCAAGGTGCGTGACGTCATTTATGGACGGCCCCCCACTCATTATTTAACTCACTCACTATTGAACTAAATCACTATTTAACTCACTCACTATTTAACTCACTCACTATTTAACTCACTCACTATTTAACTCACTCACTATTCAACTCACTTACTATTCAACTCACTATTTCACTCACTCACTATTTAACTCACTCACTATTTAATTCACTCACTATTCAACTCACTCGCTATTTACCTCACTCGTTATTTAACTCACTCACTATTCAACTCACTCGCTATTTACCTCACTCACTATTTAACTCACTCACTATTCAACTCACTCACTATTTAACTCACTATTCAACTCACTGACTCCGCTTCGCGTGCTCCTCAGCAAGGAGCCCCTCACGAGCCCCAGACCAGGGCCCCTGTCCCCTCACCCCGTGTCCCCACTGTCCCCGTGTCCCCCCCTGTCCCCTTGTCCCCTCACCTGGTGGTGTCTGTGACAAGAAACAGAAGCCGCAGCCCCCTCGCGCCCCTCCACCCACAACCCCCAGCCCCTCCCCCCACAACCCCCCAGCCCGTACAACTCCTGCGTGCCCCTCCCCCCACAACCTCCTCGCCCCTCCCCCTGCGCCGTGAACGGCATCGTGCTGGAAACCCCCTTGAGCAGCAGGCGACCAATCGGGGCGCGGGACGAGGCTCGCTGCCCCGCTCTGATTGGCCGCGCTCCGATCGCTCGCGCGCTCTGATTGGTACCTCATGCGGTGTGTAAACATCGCCACTGGGGAGACAAAGGCGGTCGGGCGTGGTGTTGGCCACCCACCCCCTCGTGTGCCGTGCTGGCCTTCATAGGTGTTGGCTAACAGCACTTGCCCCTACAGTCTGTTAAGGCTACACGGGGGATCTTTGTCTGTGTGAGTACTGTGCCAACTTGCTATGCTTTAGCCACCCGGCGCTCCGCTCATTGTTGTGAACGTCGCTCCTCCGCCCTCCATTGTTGGAGGACGACTGCCTCCAACTGCCCAGTAGCGTCCTTCACGAGCCTCCTCCACAGAGGCTTATCTTGACACCGCTGGTACCAGTCATCGGCAAGTCCACTCAGCTCCACGTCCTCTTGTTCCACATCACTCCATCTCTTCTCTAGCCCGTGCCGCGCCCATTTATCTCCCTCTATCCAGCCAAACAAAAGCCGTTTAGGCATGCGGTGACTGGGCATGCGGGCTACATGACCCAGCCAACGCAGCGCCGGATGAGCTCACCGATGGGACATTGTCCAGATCTTTCAAGGATTTGTGAGCTCCTCACACAATCCAGCCTGGTTAAACACAGGATGGATCGTAGGCAGGCCAGCCTAAATGTTTCTAACCGGCGAAGATGCTCCATTAGGGGGGTCCACGTTTTGCAAGCGTAGAGAAGGGAGGGCATGACTGTGGCCGAGAAGACCTGAAGCTTCGTGCGGAGCGACAGACCCAGGTAGCTTCCACACAGCGTTACGCAACCGATGAAAAGATATTGCCGCTCGACAGATTCGGAGTGAGACCCCTCTGCTGTTAAACTGGAGCCAGTCATGAGCACACTGCCCAGGTATGGGAAACTCTCCACTCTCCACAACTACCCCATCACCATCATGGGACCTCCTTTGCAGGGCGCGTAAATACTTGGGAAATTGGATACTGACAGGATAGGCTCTGCTCGCAGAATATTTCCTCCGGGCCGCTTGAGACTTGGGGCGAATGTCACGGAAGGGGCTGGACATTTACTCGGCTCTGCCACGGCGAGACGCGGGGGTGGGATGGTGGTTGGTGGTGCTCCCTTCCGCCGTGAGCCCGCGGCTGCCGTGTACGCGTCTCGATCAACGAGACTCGTCCATATGCTTTGGGTCTTTCGGGAAAGTCACGTAGATGGGGACAAAAAATAATAAAAACTACGACGTTTCGATCCCAACACAAGCGACCGTTATCAGGTAGAAAAAAGGGGGGGGGGCGTCGTAGTTTTTTTTATTTTTACTTTTTTATTATTATTTTTACTTTTTTTATCCCATTTACGTGACTTTACAGAAAGACCCAAATAATATGAATTCCTGCAGTGATGAAAGCTTTAAGTCAAGAGTCATCAATTGACCGCAGTCGTCACGGCAGAGGCATCGTTACAAACAGATATTCAGTAAATTTGAAAAGTCTCGTGAAAATGCGGCAGCTTCAAATGTGGTTGGACGACTTTGATTCCGCACCGGGCAAGACGCTGCGCGCGTGCCCGCAGCTCTTCGCCGCGTGCGTCTGGTGCCCTCGACTCCCACGTGCTCCTCTTGACGTCCCTCGCTGCCATTGCACGTGAGCAGCTCTCTCCATGCTTCCTTGGGCACCCACCTAAGCCACCCGAGACTAAGACTGGAGTGATCTCAAAGTTACAAACGTCTACGGGTGAGGCCCACTGTCTTCTAAGATCCAGGTCCGGTTCAATGCAGTACACAAAATCCGTGATCTGATCCCATCCGAAAAGGATGTCATTCCTGACTTACAGTACCCCGGTGTTTACAAATTGAGTTGTACCTGCGGTGACTGCTATATTGGGGAGACGAAACGACATATTTCTGACCGAATTCGCGAGCACAAATCAGATTTGAAACACGGCAGAACGAATTCTTCGGCCGTAGCTGATCATTGTTTCAACACAGCGTGTTCTCATATTGTTTTCTCCGATATCAAAGTACATCTGCAAACCTCCCGGATACTACCAAAGATTTGTCCATGAAGCCATCCAGATATACAAACATAGACACAACTTCAACCGAGAGGATGGTTTCAAATTAAGCAATCGTTGGAAAGATGTCAACCAAGTCAAACATCAGTTGCCACATGGCACTCTCTCCGTCCCCCTAACTCCCTGCAGCATAACAAAAGGCAGGGTTAACTTAGCCCCCTCCCCCACGGCCCGTCCTGGCTCCCCCCCCCTCCTGAACCTGTATACAATCTCGTGTCTCTTTGAGCTCTCTTCACTGGATACAGCAAGTTTGCTGTGACGGTTCCACCTGAAGACGGAAGCTTGTGTTGCCTCCGAAACGTCGTCATTTAATTCATTTTTTTTACCAACGTCACTTTACCGAAAGAAAACAAAGAGAATGGACCTCATTGTTGTCGTCATCAGGGGCGGAGCCTCCAGGGGGCAGGGCGTGGACAAACACGCGGTGACCTCATTGTTGTCGTCTCCAAGTGGTCACGGAGACCACCCACAGCACGAGGCACTGCCAACAGACTCGGGCAAGGGCTGCAGTAGATGTTTAATGGAGCTGTAATGCGGGCGTAAACGACCTCCCGGATGTGACGTCATGAGGGGAGGAGTTAAGTCACGTGGGGGAGAGGGGTCAGGTCTATAGGGAGAGAAACCGGAAGAGGAGGGGGAGTGATGGGAGACTAGGAACGAGTGAGGCCACGTAGGGCGAGAGCGGGAGAGTGGCGAGATCGCCACGTACACGGGGAACGAGGTTCGGCACCGTCGGCCAACGGTGACCGACCCCGGAGCAGCGAGGAGGCTGCAGGTGGCAGCGGGGGTCGGCACACGGAGGTGGCAGCGGGGGTTTGCACACGGAGGTGGCAGCGGGGGTCTGCATACGGAGTTGGCAGCGGGGGTCTGCACACGGAGTTAGCAGCGAGTCTGCAAGGAGAGGAAGGAGGC